AAAAGAAAATGTGTGTACCAGTCCCCTTCAGCTAAGTGCAAACAAAGCCAATCCTAAGGAAAAAAAAATCTGCTTGGACAGGGCTCCAAAACATCTAGATTTTATTATCATTAAAAAAATATATATATGGGGCGCCTGGGTCTCAGTCAGTTGAGCGTCTAACTCTTGGTTTCGGCTCAGGTCATGATCTCATGGGATCAAGCCCTGCATCAGGCTCCATGCTCAGCAGGGAATCTGCTTGAGAGTCTCTCCCTCTGACTCCTCCCCCACTTGCATGCGTGGGCGCTCTCTCTCTAATAAATAAATAAATCTTAAAAAAAAATAAAATAAAAATTAGCGGCGCCTGGGTGGCTCAGTCAGTTAAGTGTCTGCCTTCGGCTCAGGTCATGATCCCAGGGTCCTGGGACTGAGTCCCGCATCGGGCTCCCTGCTGAGAAGCCTGCTTCTCCCTCTGCCTGCCATGCCCCCTACTTGTGCACTCTCTCTCTCTCTCTGTCAAATAAATAAATAAAAATCTTTTTTAAAATAAAAAAACAAGAAAATTAAATTAAATTAAAATTTAAAAAGACCATAATCTTTGATAACAAAATAGGCCACAAAATAGGTCTCAGAATCAATAGACTCTTCAGAATTAGGAGCCCTCAAATCTGACCTCTATGCTTTTTTCAGCATAAATACTGCCCCTATCACACGTTGGTTCTTTTAGAACATCCTGTCAACCTGCTTGCCAGAAACTTAACTCCTGAATCAGGCATCCTATTTCTAGAAAGTTCAAATTATTACAAACGTCGATGGGTCAAAATCTGTCTGGTGATTTTTATGTGCCCTCATTCATGATTCTATTCACAGCCTGTTAAATTATGCTTTGACAAGGAATCTCTACATATCCTGGTACAGAACTTTCATCTAAATCATCTAGACTATCTGGCACTCTCTGCTGGACATCCCTGAGTAAGAAATTAGCTCATTTTTTCTTCCTGCTGCCAGTGGGGATTTGCTATAATGTCTCAAGGCTAGCCAAACAGAGAACATTGCCAAGAAGGCTTAGTTTTGCAAACCACCCCACCCATTTGGGGAGGTGGGAAGCAGAGATTACAATAGGAAAATGCCGTACCACACTATTAATTTTTAATGTAAGCTCTAAAAGAGAAGACATTTTTGTCTGTTTTTCATTGATGCATTCTGGGCACCCAGAACAGAGCCTGGCATATAGTAGGTGCTCAATGAACATCTGCTGAATAAGTTTTATTCTGTGTATTTCCAGTTTGGGAATTTTTGTTGAATTAAAATTTAGTGAAAATACCAGTTTTGCCTACAACAAAGACTGCTAAGAGTACCTTTCCCTGGGATATCAGAATTCCTCGCAGAGTGTCAAATCCCACAGAAGGCCCAAGTCCAGTTTCATCAAGAGAGCCCTCCAGGTCGAACATGGGGATACAGGGGCAGAAGAGCTCTGAGATGTGATGTAGCAGAAGCAGCCGATTCCGCAGTGCTATTATGGGGATTTCCTGCAAGTGATTGTATTCCATGGGAACCTGAAACGTTGAAACTGTATTAAGTCAACTTAGGTGTCAAATGCACAGATAACCCATAGTTTGTAGATGAATTCTGAAAATATTTTTTTCAAAAACAGAGAAGCACCGTTACTTCTGAGTCTGGCATGAATAACCTCATTGTTTTTAGAACCATATTCTGGCCAGCTTGACTGCTTGAGTCAAGTAATGTAAACCAAGGAAAATGCTGAAAAAATTAGTCTATAGAAATATATTTACTAAGGAATATGTGCAGCTTGTACTATCAGAATGGTTTTGTATAGTTTGTAAGATTTAGAATGAAGGTGACACACTGATATATATAGAATGTTGGTTAATGTGAATATTAAGGTTCTTAAAAGTACTGTTTTTCACATTATGAACCAGAAATATTTTCAACAGAACACCTCTGTAAATATACAGTGGAAAATGAAGTGTGAGTGTGGCTTACATGCATAATTCAATACACAGATAGTAACTCTGTCACTACTTGTACACCTCCTAGCCCCCCTGGCCCAATCAGTACTGACCTGTGCAGGAAGCTTCCCAGCGCTGGCAGGCTTGCTGGTTGACCAGGCAAGAGTATGTGCTGAGCCGCAGGCTACACGGTTGACCTTCTTACCCTGAAGGGCGGCTACCAACCGGGGCCTCTGGATGGCATTTGTAGTTCCATCTCCCAGTTGTCCCTCATCATTGTCACCCCACGTATAAACTTCTCCTAAATGAAGTGAATTTAGAACAAGAACTTGTATACTAGGGCTAATGAATGCACAACCACCAATATCTTCCCACACAATAATACTCCCTTTAATGGGGTGCTGGTGGTCAACTGTCTGAATGTCAACTTCACGTGTGACCTACATGTCTCTAATCACAGCACCCAAAGAGGTAGCACGCTTCTCAGAACTCTTGACAGACCCTGCTGGCCAACATGCCTTTTCTAGTACTAAGCACATAACTGCAGTAGTTCTTAATCCAAATAAGTAACAGTAAAATAGATGGTAATATCCTTAATTGCCCAAGGTAATTTTTTATGTTAAATAGAGAGGAAAAAATCAGTTTTTTAAAAAACACAACCCGTTTTTAAGGGAAACACAGTTCTTCCTATAGTTGTTCATAACCTAAACATGAGATTCATCATTGATGAGAATATTTTTTAGTGTACCATGCTAAATCCCAACCATGAAATGCCACCAGAAAACTGTTCTAAGGGTAAGATCACTCGGTGACTAAAACAGAAACGAGGTTAGTTGCCATATCCACAAAGGCTCCTCAGGGAGCCACAAGCAGCACTCTGTAGAGTGTGACGCCTGCATGATCAAGGGCAATGTGCTTGTGTGCCGCCTCTTCCCATTATGGACAGTTTAGTCCTAAAGTCACTGTGTGGGTGTCACAGCACAAGTAAGGAGAGAGGACTTCTCAGCAGAGGGACAACTGGATGCAGAGACTGAGAGTCCACAAATGATAAATACTTCCATATAGGGGGTGTCCCAGTGTGGGGAACTGGCCCAAGCAGACACACTAGTACCCCATGTGTGGGGGTGGCCCAGAGTGAGCAGTCACAGCCCGAGATGGGTGAGGATTCATTCAGGGGAGAGGGCAAAGGCAATGATGGGACACTGATCACATGCATGCAGAGTGACTGAATCACTGCATTAGGGATAATGAAATCCAGGATTCTCACCAAATCCTGGAGAGAAAGGAGTTAAAAGTATGGAAAGAGAGAAAACCAGAATGAACCCTGTGGTACAGAACCAGAATCTGGGGTCCAGGTGTGAATGTATGGTATTCAATATACATATATAGATACAAAAATAACATAGATACAAATTTGTATATTATTTACGTATGTATTCCCTGGCTCTATCCACTCAGAAGACCTGGGAGCAGTGACATCCCAAAAGCAATGAGCACATCCATCGACCTGATCTGTCTTCTCAACACCATTCTCCTCTACAGACACCAGGACTCCTTGGGGAAATGGCCAGTGCTAGGCTTGGGCCATGGGGAGTCAAGAAGATAGGGTGTCTTATTGTGCCAGAAAGCAAGGAAGTAGTCAGTGAATGATGGGCACACACCAGCAAATAAAGCTAGCCTAATAGGGCCAATTTGAGCATCAAAATTAGTAACAGTAACAGATTCAGAGGTACAGGTCTGTGATTCAACAGTATTACACAATTCACAGTGTTCACCATAGCACATACCCTCCCCAATGTCTATCACCCAGCCACCCCATCCCTCCC